CTTGCAACACGCCGTAACTCACCTCAGAACGTTAGCACGTCGGAGCAGTATGCATCACGTGATAGAGCGGCTGTGGCATGCGGGACCTGTCGGTGGTCTGGATAGCATTTGGAGCTTCGCTAGCAACCCGGCATTTCATCTCCGACAAAGTTATCCCCGAGAGAAGTAAAGCAAGTGTGTAAGTCCATCTCTGAATGTTTGTAAAGCATTCCTGCGTTAAGCTTAACGAGCGACTGCCTCTCGCTCTCCGGCTGCTACTTCAATCATGAAACTGCTTAATGATCAGCTGATCGGCTTTTCTGTCGCGAGTCCGTGTCTCTTGTTTGCTTTTGGCCCACTTTGCACCAGAAAGAGGAAACCAGCGGCTGAACAACAGCAGCACGTTTAAGCTTGATCAGCTGTTGTTAGAATTATTTAATATTACTTTCTACTCCAGGATCTTTTTCTACGTAGCTGACGCTGGTAACTGTGCAGGGGCGGATCTAGCAAAGTTTAGCCAGGGGGGCCGATAGGGCATTAACAGGGAAAAGGGGGCACAAAGACATACTTTTCTTTCTTATTCTCATTTAAAATGTCTCAGCTTTTAATTATTTAATATTTATCTGAATCTTACACCCAAAGTTTTAATCTGATGTAAAATGTATAGAAGTCCATTACTGTATATAGTAACTTTAAGTCTAATATATATACCCTAGTAAGCTATAGTACTTTTTCCTTTGGGAAGGTACCATCTGTGCAGTCTGCAATTTTGTTGAAGAAAGATGTTGAATCTATTTAATATTTCTTGAAAAATAATTGATTTCTGTGCATTTTTTTTCACACTGCATCAAATTAAGGTTGATTACGTCGATTAAGCATCATGAGGTGGAGCGTGAGGGGTGGTTCCCTATTTTTTATTTATTTATTTTTGTTGTTGCTGGGAGTTGGAACCCTATTAGTTAGGTTGCTTAATATTTATGCTAAGTACTCTTTAAAATACCAGAATAGGGAGGATGGTGTAGGTTTAAGTTTATTAGATTGATCAGTATTGCTGAACTATGAAATATTTTTTTTTGCATACAGGTATAACAGAATAGCTTTAGTGTAGTTGTTGTTTTAAACTTGAGTATGAACTTATACAAAATGCAGCAAGATATTTAAAAAACAGTTTTGTTGATTAAAAAACACTATATCGGATTCATATCGGTATCGGCAGATATCCAAATTTATGATATCGGTATCGGACATAAAAAAGTGGTATCGTGCCATCTCTAGTATAGATGGTTGCTTGTGTTACTCCAGCACCTGAATATGTTATTAATAGTACCTCTACAGATGTGCAAGTTACCCATGTCAGGTACACTGATGATGGGTACGCAAAGTTCAGACTTTTAAACAAAGTTGTAACAAGTTTATTTCAGTAATGACCAGCATTCTACCAAGAGCAGTGCAAATTAGAAATTCAAAACTGATCATAGTGGATAAAGGAGAAGAGTGACCAAAATAATGCAGTGTTAGTACAGGCTTTACACATTTGTTTTCTGGATTGGATTGGTTTTAATGCAGGCACAATAATCCACAATGAGTCAGAGTCATTATGATGCTTGCAAAGCAAATAGTTTCTTTATTTTATATGTAACCCCTTCATAAATCCAGTCGACTACAGCCCGTTCACCAATATAAGCAAACATATTAGACATACTAAAACACATAAAAACAACAACAACAAAAAATCACTTTTCAACAGTTTTTCATGCAGATCTTCATAAGTTGTGGTTGCATTTCTTCGGCATTTAGGTAGAGAGTACAAAGGGAATAACATTTTTAGGTGGTGGGTAATTTAAATTAAAACATTTTGAAGATACTTGCTGAAGATACAGCTGCTGTATTTCCCAGGGAGGGTGCAAGATATTGCCACTCAAAGATGGAGAAAGTTGTAAGAACGACAGGACAGGAGAGGAAGGTCAGGACAGTAGGTCATATTTAAAATTAAGGACTGCTCAGTGCTATTCAGTGAAGTGGAAATTTAAAGCACATGTAATGTCCTTACTTGTTAAATCAGATATTTGATCTATATATGATGTGAAGGTTGTTACCTTTTTTTATTTTTTCGTACTGAAATGTCTCCAAACAATACAGAATCAGAATCAGAATACTTTATTGATCCCTGGGGGAAATTATTTTTTGTTACAGTGCTCCATTATAAACCAACATTAAGACAAGACAGACAATACACTAACTAAGAATAGTACAATATATACATATATATACATACATACATACATACATAAGTCACTCATAAATAAATAGCTGAAAAAGAAACATGTGTAGTTATAGCAGCAAACAGTGTGTTAAGTGGATGCGTTGTACAGGGAGATGGCCACAGGCAGGAAAGATTTCCTGTGTCGTTCAGTGGTGCTTTTCGGTAATCTCAGTCTCTCACTGAACGTGCTCCTGTGACTGACCAGCATGTCATGGAGTGGGTGGGAGGTGTTATCCAACATTGTCTTTATCTTGGACAGCATCCGCCTCTCCGACACCACCTTGAGGGAGTCCAGCTCCATCCCCACAACATTGCTGGCCTTACGGATTAGTTTATTGAGTCTGTTGGCATCTGCGACCCTCAGCCTGCTCCCCCAGCATGCAACAGCATAGAGGATCGCACTGGCCACAACAGACTCATAGAAAATCCTCAGCATTTTCTGGCATATGTTGAAGGACCTCAGTCGCCTCAAAAAATAGAGACGACTCTGGCCCTTCCTGTAAAGTGCTGTGGTGTTTTTAGCCCAGTCCAGTTTATTGTCAATGTGTACTCCAAGGTATTTATAGTCCTCCACAATGTCAACACTGACCCCCTGGATTGAAACAGGGGTCAAGTGTTTCCTGGTCTTCCTGAAGTCCACGATCAGTTCCTTGGTCTTTGCCACGTTGAGCTGCAGATGATTCTGCTCACACCACGTGACAAAGGAGTCGACCACAGCCCGGTACTCTGTCTCATCATCCCTGCTGATGCATCCAACCACCGCAGAGTCATCAGAAAACTTCTGAAGATGGCAGGTCTCTGTGCAGTGGCTGAAGTCTGTGGTGTAGAGGGTGAAGAGGAAGGGGGAGAGGACAGTCCCCTGTGGTGCCCCTGTGTTGCTGATCACCTTGTCAGACACACACTGTGGGAGACGTACATATTGTGGTCTTCCTGTCAGGTAATCAACAATCCAGGACACCAGAGAAGCATCCACCTGCATCGCTGCTAACTTATCACCCAGGAGGGTCGGCCTGATGGTGTTGAAAGCACTGGAAAAGTCAAAAAACATGACCCTCACAGTGCTCGCCGGCTGGTCCAGATGGGTGTAGACACGATTGAGCAGGTAGATGATGGCGTCCTCAGTTCCGAGACGAGGCTGATAAGCGAACTGAAGGGGATCCAGATGTGGTCTTACTATGGGTCGCAGCTGGTCCAGGATGAGCCTTTCCAGGGTCTTCATGATGTGGGAGGTCAGTGCCACGGGCCTGTAATCCTGGGGGCCACTGGGACGTGGCGTCTTTGGTACAGGGACGAGGCATGATGTCTTCCACATCACTGGGACCCTCTGCAGACTCAGACTCAGCATAAACAGTTTATGAAAGACTCCACACAGCTGGGGGGCACAGGTCTTGAGGACAGGGGACTCACTCCGTCTGGTCCAGCAGACTTGCCTGAGTGAAGTCTCCTCATTTGCATCTCAACCTGGTATTGAGTGAAGGTGATGGGTGGGGGAGGGGTGTCAGGAATCTCACAGGAGGCAACAGCTGTGAAGAGAGAGGCTGGCACAGTGGTGTGGCTCTGGATTCCAGGCTGACTACAGGTGAGGTTGTGGGGGTGGGAGCAGACACTGTGGTGTCGAATCTATTGAAAAACAGATTCAACTCATTGGCTCTATTCTCACCTCCCTCAGCTCCCCTGCTGTTGGTTGGCCTGAATCCAGTGATGGTCTTCATGCCCCTCCACACCTCTCTCATGCTGTTCTGCTGGAGTTTCCACTCCAGCTTCCTCCTGTAATTGTCCTTAGCCTCTCTGATCTTGTCCTTTAGTAACACCTGGATCTTCCTCACCTCCTCTTTGTTGCCCCCTCTGAAAGCCCTCTTCTTGTTGTTGAGGAGGGCTTTGATGTCCTTAGTCACCCACGGCTTGTTATTTGGGTAACAATGAACAGTCTGAGCTGGAACAATGGAGTCGGTGCAGAAAGTTATGTAGTCTGTGATACACTCAGTAAGCCCATTGATGTCCTCGGCGTGAGGCTCACAGAGTGTTTCCCAGTCGGTCACCTCGAAACAGCCCTGTAGTTCTGCTAAGGCCTCCTCTGACCACCTCCTAACAGTCCTGGTGGTCACAGGTTCCCTCCTCACAATTGGCACATAGCGGGGGGTGAGGTGAATCAGGTTATGATCTGACCTACCAAGTGGGGGGAGGGAGGAGGAGCTGTATGCATCCTTGACGTTAGCATACAGTAAGTCTAAAGTTTTCTCTCCCCTGGTGGGACAGTCCACATATTGTTTGAATGTTGGTAGTGTATTGTCCAGTGATACATGGTTGAAGTCACCCGAGATCACAATAAAGGCACTCGGGTGCTGAGTCTGTAACCGAGCTATGGCAGAGTGGATAGTGTCACATGCAGCTGTGGGGTTAGCAGAGGGAGGAACATAAACAGCCACCAAGATGACGTGAGAGAATTCCCTGGGTAAATAATACGGCCTGAGTCCAACAGCACACAGTTCAGTGTCCGGGCAACAAATCCTTTCTTTGATTGTTATGTTGGCAGGGTTACACCACCGGTTGTTAACTAGAACAGCAAGCCCACCTCCTTTCCGCTTACCGCTAGCGATGCTGTCCCTGTCCGCCCGAACAGTGTGGAAGCCTTCCACGGAAGCATTCTCATCGGGAATGTCCTGGTGCAGCCATGATTCGGTGAAACACATCAGGCTACACTCTCGGTATTCCCTCTGACTCCGTACCAGTGCTGAGAGCTCGTCGATTTTAATTGCCAACGATCGCACATTACCCATCACGATAGACGGCAGACACGGTTTAAACCTCCTCCTCGCTTCGAGCCTCCGCTGTCTCACCGTCACCTTTTTTCTTCTCTTCTGTCCTTGACCTCTGCATCCCCGATGTGTTTTCCTCCAAATTTCAGCTGGTACTTCTGCGGGCCTGGCCAGCGAGCCGGCCGGCATCAGGGCGATCAGCTGATCTCTGGAGTAAACAGTCCGTGAGTGTAGGAGATGTGCCGCGGTCCCGTTCCTTGATAAAAGTAACAGTTCCACGGCCACCAGAAGAACAAAAACTCTCTCAATCCACATGATTGAGTAAGAGATAGAAAACGGATGAAAATACAAGTCAGAAAAAAAAAGAATACGTAAGAAAAAAGAGCTAAACTAAGAGAAAAGCAGGAGCGACTGTAACAGGCTGCACGCTGGTTGGCGCATGCGCTTTTGTGAGGTGCTTTCGTGATATTTAATGGATCGGATTACATTTTTTATTTTTCTCCGATATCCGATCCAGTAATTTAGGTCAGTATCGGACCGATACCGATACGTAATATCGGATCGGTCCATCTCTAATCTATACAATGTCTTTTTGTGAAGAACTCCCTTCATTTAGCAAGACAAAACACAAATAATTTTGTATTACAATAATTCAGGTGCTTAAATATCTCGACTGCAATCACCCACTTAAATCTTGCAGAATTATATTCATAACAAAAACAACAAAAAACCACTACATTATAATTTGATATTTTAAGTTGTGATTAAAAGCTATCATTGTTCATAAGTGTCAGTTATTATCTTTCTACTATTTAAATTCAATAACTAAATATCAGGTTTAAATTATTTCTAAACCACTGTACCTTTACATTTTACACTATGCCCCAACATACACTGAACAATAAAATAGCCAGCTTGGAAAATGAGTCAAACCTGCAGTTATACATCCACATACATGGTTTAAGCAGGAAATCTAAACTGTACAGAAGAGGTAGGGCAGACACTAAAAAGAAATCAGCAAAAGGTGATGATAATAAAGAGTTAAGAGCTGACAGTCACTCACGACACTTGTCGATTACAAGTAAAATCAGTAAAAAATACACACGTAATTTTACTGACACATACAACTCTGTCACAAGGTATGAGTGATAAGAGCCCCCATGTCATTTTAGGCACAAAGGCAGAATGACAAAAAGGTTTACCTGATAAGAGTACAGTGTTTAACGTCAACAGGAGAGGGATGTGGGGACGTTAATGACAGAACTTCAAAGTTGTAAAAATAACTCACAGTGAGCTAATGCTGCAGATGGACGAGCTGCTAGAGTGCACCTTACTTCAACTGCATGTTAGAAAACTGCACATGCACAAAAAAAAAAAGGGGAACGTGGGGAAAACATATAGCATGAAGTCAGAGAAACAGCCAGACAACATTCAATTATTATCTGTCTACTCTGTCTATTAGTATCCTATCAAATGAGAATGAAATGAGGACTGGGCTGGTTTCAGTCATTATGCAAATGTACTGTTTATAAGATTAGGGAAACCTGCAGTCAGCTGAGACTGAAGAAGTCACTTCGATGAGTGACGAAATGTTTCTCCCACTGAAAACGCTACGTCCACATGAACAGAATCAACTTTTGGAGACAACCTTGAGATTCAAATCCTCAAGCCAGAGGTCCACTGACACTAACAGAGTCTAACCCTTAGAGGAGGTTTGGCAAAATTATACTTTATTCAGATGGGTGGTTTTCTTGATCATCTTGACATTTCCTAACTACATATAGGATAATGTGCAAACAAGGAAGGGGAATCAATTAGGTTTTAATTAAGGTTCTACAATCCCTTATCCTGGTTGTTATTTACATGACAGTTTAAGAAACTGGTGCAATTGTTGGTTATTTAATATATGTTATGTTAATATATCTAATTAAAGAACATTCTGACTGTGACTGCCATGGTGCCTCCATCCTGCTTGGCTGTCTACTCCAGGTTTTGTTCTTTGTCTGTTTTTCTCTTAGTATTTAATGTTTCTCCTTCTTGTTTCTCTGTGCTTGTTTTTTATGTTTATATTTGTTGGCGAGATTCATCATATCTTGCTGAGGCTAAGGCTCTGTTTTTATTGGACCTGCCAATCATCTCTGACAGAACAATACAACCACAAAAATGGACTGAGCTGACTCTTGTGAGCTGTGCTTTCACTTCAAAGGAAGTGGACTGGCATGAGCAAATGCTCCGCCACATTATTGGCGAACCATGATCGCTGAAGAAATCGCAGAGGTAAAAGGTAGTAAAAAGGTATGGTTAATCCACCATTTTCAGCCTCTATCCCCTCACCTCCTCAGATCAGAGAACTGACTGTCTCTCCACTCCCGAGGTGTTCAAGGGTGAGTTTAGCAAATGTGCTGGATTTCTTACACATAGAGTTTGCTAGTATTCAAACAAAAAAGGGCATATGAGTCAGATTGTTCCAAGATTGCTTTTTTTGTGGAGATATTTTAAGACCAGGTGCTAAAATAGGCACAGGCTGTGCTAAAAGCAAGCCCCATTCTTTCTTTTGAAGATTTCATTCCTAAATTTCGGAATGTTTTTGAGTCTAACCCTGATGTTGGCTGCTCATCAAGTAAATTTGCAATGTGTAAAAATTGATGACCATGTCCGCAAACACAGGTGAAAATGTAACTTTCCCAGAATGCTCCTGGCTCTTATTCTCCCCCGCACTAACAATGTCCCTATAATGTCCCTCTGTAAAGTATTTTAAGTCATGGCCCTGGATGGAAAAGGACCTCCCTGATATCACACAAGACTCAGACTGTCTCACTCACTCTCTCTGGCAACCACACTGAAGATGTGAGCTTCTATGTGTTTGAAGCCCTTCTTACTCCTCTGGTCCTTGGTCATCCCTGGTTACGTAATCATAATGATTACGTAACCAGGGATGACCAAGGATTCAAGGTTACTTTATTTATACCTGTAAGTAAATTTGCTTTACAGGAAAATGATAGCATTTGGCATCCCTTTGCATCCCTTTAATTGGATAAAATTATATTTTGGGGGGCTGAAAAAAGCTTTGTTTCATGTTGACAATGTTTCTCCACAATGTAAGTGGGGGTGACCTCAAACCAGGCCCCATTAAGTACAAGCTGTAATTGATTGGCCTATCAATAAGAATCACAAGCAGTTGTGTTGCTTTGGTTTTTCTTTGGTTCATCTGTGACTTCAGTAAGCAAGTCCTCCCACTAATGCAACTTGCCTCTCCCAATCTTCTGTTCCAGTGGTCACCATTGGCTCAGTGTGCCTTTGATCTTCTCAAGCAACGCGTCATATCTGTCCCCATCTTGTCTCAACCTGACCTCACGCAACAGTTCATTGTGGAGGTGGATGTGTTCTACTGCTGTGTGGAAGCTGTCCTATTGCAAAACAAAGAAGGTAAAAAGCGTCCCTGTGCCTTTTTCTCTTGTTCTCTCTTCCCAGCTAAACAGAATTATAATGTTAGATATCAAGAACTGCTGGCCAGCAAACTCGCCCTAGATGAATTGAGGTGCTGGTTGAAAGGGTCAGGACATACATTCATCATGTGGACTGACCACATGAACCTTGCATACCTCCAGACAGCATAAAGGCTTAATACTGAGCAAGTCAGGTGGGCTCTGTTTTCCACTCAGTTTAACTTCACCATAACTTACTGACATTCCTCACAAAACATCAGACCACTTTCCTGGCAATTCTCCACTTTTGACAAAACCCCTGATAAATCAACCATGGTCCGTGCTTTCTGAATGATTGGATCCCTTATCTGGTAAATTGAATCAGCCCAGCAAACAAAACCAGACCATGGCAACAGTCGTCCTGGTCGCCTCTATGTGCTTGCTTTGATTTCAGTCTAAGGTAATTCAATGGGCATACCAGAGGTCCCAGTTCACATCTCAAGTTTGGTGTGAATTCTGCTCTGCTCTCTGAGCCAAGGTTGGCCTGCCTTCATCCTCAGACTAACAGACAAGCACAACGTACCAACATTTGGAGCTCCCACCTGGCTTGGTGGAGTATGCCCATGATGTCATGACATGCCATAGAAGGTGAGCTTGTCGTATGGCACAATCTATGCAGTTGGCACTGCCACTGGAAGGCTACCTATGCTATCCTGCTAAGGACCATGGAGCAAAATAAACGTCTTACCAATCGCAATAGAATCCCAGTGCCGGTCTACTGTCCTGTACTACGTGGGACTGGAAGAAGGGCAACTTTCATATTCTACACAGTGAGTCTTCCTTGGCTTGCACATCAAGGTTTTGTTTTTTGTCTAGCTCTCCCTTGTGTTTCCCCTCTCTCCTCTTTTTACGGGTTCCCAACTCTGGCCAGGCACACCTGCTCTAATCACCCACATGTTTATCAAGAATCCACTACTTAAGGTAGTGGATGAGGATAACTCTTTGTTTGGTAATTGGGCTAATCGGTTAGCTGAAACCCTGGCTCCTGCTACTCTGTTTTTGCTCGGATTTTGACTGTCTGTTTCCTGTGCACAGGCCCCTGGATTTCCTTCCCTGGTGTGGTGCGCTTAATCCTCAGTTGAAAGGGAGTGTGAACTGTAAATTTTGGATGTGTTGATTCGCTTTGTTCCTGGACTATTTCCCTTTTCTTGTCTTACTGAACTGTGATCTCCCGAGCGCTGTGCTAAAGTCTACCATCCTATTAGCCTTGACAATGGTCAATCCACACTATCCATCCATCCATTCGCTTCCGCTTATCCTTTTCAGGGTCGCGGGGGGCGCTGGAGCCTATCCCAGCTGTCATGGGGCGAAAGGCAGGGTACACCCTGGACAGGTCGCCAGTCTGTCGCAGGGCTAACACATAGGGACAGACAACCATTCGCACTCTCATTCACTCGCACATTCACACCTAGTGGCAATTTGGATTATCCAATTAACCTATCCCCACAAGCTGCATGTCTTTGGACAGTGGGAGGAAGCCGGAGTACCCGGAGGGAACCCACGCAAACACGGGGAGAACATGCAAACTCCACACAGAAAGACCCCAGCCTGATGGTGGAATTGAACTCAGGACCTTCTTGCTGTGCGGCAACAGTGCTAACCACCGTGCCACCGTGCTGCCCGTGCAATCCACACTAATACTTTCTAAAACGATGTCTCAAAGAAAAATATTTTCGGATTAAAAGTTTTAGATATAAAACATCCACGTACATATATTTCAGATGACCATTCCTCAAGTGGGTAAATCTCCACAAGATGTAAGCGCTAGCATAGATAACAAAGATATTGAGAAATTCTAATTTGAATTAACAAACAGTAGTCAAGGATGTTTTGTGTTCCAGATAATGACCATGTAATGAACTGTTTACATATAAATATGAATAAACAATTAACACATTCTGAACCATATGCATGATTTGATTTGTTGGATCAAGCAAAGTTTAAAGTTTAAATTTTTCTGCCACACTGGATTTGACGTTTTTGTTTTGACAAACATTAACTTTTTTTTAGTCACAAATGTATTTCCCAGTATTTATCAGTAGGCAGGGATGATTGTCTCATCAAGCCTCACAAAATGATGTTTTCTGAACATGTGTCACAGCCAATCAAAGTGATTTTGCAACAGCTGAACACTAGGGAATGCTAGTATCCAACCTGCACAGATCTAATAGCTTTGGAAATACTATTCTGATATTTGTTAAGATGGTGTTTGTTATATCACAGAAGAGTTGAGCATTGGCTTTGGTCTGCAATCTCAGAGAACCATTCTAGCTGAGTTGTTTTGTGCTAAGCTGTTACATATTTCTGCTTTTTTTCTATATTTGTAATGATATTTTGTGGACAAAGATTTAATATGAACATCAAAAATGCAAAAATGTATTCTGTGTGTTGAATATTGACACAGGATGGAAGGAATTAGACTGCATACTTGTAAAGTGGTCCTTAATGTAGCTAAAGGAAAACCACCCACAATTCTTGGGAGTCACTACGATGCAGTTTATCAAGTCAGGACAAACATTAAAGGAAGTAGACTTACGCTGTGATGGAAATGTTAGCGGCTGACATGGGGCTGACTTCCTTTACCTCCTTGGCCTTCTGGAGGGCAAGTTTCTTATTAATAGCCTCCTCTTGCTCCTCTTCATCCTATAGGTATAGAAAAAAACATACATGGACACATATTTTAACTTGTGTTCATTTCAGGACTATAATAAATAACAAGTTGTCACTCAATACACTGAGAAATCCTTTATAATATATTTATTTTACTGTGACCATTGTTGATAGAAGGTCAACTATTAAAGAACAAGGCAAATTTAAGTCTAGCAGGAGCATTCAGAATATGGATATATTATAAGGGTAAAATCACTGATTCTAATTCTAACTCTAACCCCCAACAATAAGAATATATCATTTTTTGTCATATTAAATAGTGAAGTTCTGGCAATCAGGGACAAATAGATAATTCAAACTGAAACCTTTCCCTTTTAATTATTAAAAAAATCTATCTTGCCTTTCTTCTAAATATAGCATAGGTTTAGACCTTAGTTAAAATCAGAATTGTGTTTGTTTGTTTGTTTGTTTGTTTTACATCAAAAGCTTTAGGAATGATGATAAAAACAGAATAATTTTATAATATAGAATAACAAAGAATTTTTTTTTCATTTTTGTGACAAAAAAAATTAATATTTCATAAAAAAAAACTTTATTTCATGAGCAAATATCACAAGCTATACCACAAAACAAAACTAAAAGTAAATATTGCAACCCAAATAGAACTAAATTCTAAATTTCTACTCAATTACTACTCAAGTTAGCTAAATATATGCATGTGTTTCATTTTCAAGACCTGCTTTAAATGGCTACCATTTTGACAAGCGCAGCCCCGGAAGATTCTGAAAACTCTGGTTAAAATTTAGAAGCAAGATATGCATATATTTAACAAAATTATTTTCTCAGTTATAACTAGAAAACTATAACATTAACTATTTCACATTATGTATGAAAAAATGAAAGTGGGTCAACCGACCTTTGTTTAAATACATATGTTGAAAAGTATTTGATATATGAAGCTAGGTTTTCAGAAGTATCATTAGTATATTATATATCTAACAGGATAACTTAGAATCATAACATTATAGTGAATATGGTTTAACAGAAAATGATAACTGTGAAGATTATCAAAAAATGATCATTTGAAATGAAAATAAAAAATATGCACATTAACTAAATTAATTAATTAGAGTACCATCCAGAAACGGCCAAATTTGGTTCTACTCTGATTACACTATCTAGCAATATTTCTTATTCTTTTGTTTTTGTGATACACTTTTCCTTCAGAAAAGGCTTGAAAATGCCTAGAACTTCATAAAAAATATTTTATGAACTATCCATCCATCCATCCATTTTCATCCGCTTTGTCCGGGGCCGGGTCGCGGGGGCAGCAGCCTAAGCAAAGAGGCCCAGACCTCCCTCTCCCCAGCCACCTCCTCCAGCTTATCCGGGGGAATACCAAGGCGTTCCCAGGCCAGCCGAGAGATATAATCTCTCCAGCGTGTCCTGGGTCTGCCCCGGGGCCTCCTCCCGGTGGGACATGCCTGGAACACCTCACCCAGGAGGCGCCCAGGGGGCATCCTTGTCAGATGCCCGAACCACCTCAGCTGGCTCCTTTCTTGATGTGGAGCAGCAGCTGCTCTACTCTGAGCTCCTCCCGGATGGCCGAACTTCTCACCCTATCTCTAAGGGAGAGGCCAGCCACCCTTCGGAGGAAGCTCATTTCTGCCGCTTGTATCCGCGATCTCGTTCTTTCGGTCACTACCCACAGCTCGTGGCCATAGGTGAGGGTAGGGACGTAGATCGACCGGTAAATTGAGAGCTTCGCTTTTACAGCT